ATATGTCGACCAGAGAAAAACAAATACCATATAACTTCACTCATATGTGGAATTTAAGAAACAAAACAGATGAATGTATGGGAAGAGAGAGAAAAAGAGAAGAAAGGGGAACAAACCACAAGAGACTCTTAACAATAGAGAACAAACTCAGGGTTGATGGGAGAGAGGGGGGTGGGAAATGGGCTACATGGGGGATGGGTATTAAGAAAGGCACTTGTTGTGATAAGCACTGGATGTTGTTATATAAGTGATGAATCACTGAATTCTACTTCTGAAGCCAATAATGCACTGTATATTAACTAACTAAAATATAAACAATTTAAAAAATGGTTAAATGAAGAAAATATATATGCATAATGGGAGACCCAGAAAGAGAAAAGAGGAAGGGACAGAAACAATAGCTGAAGAAATAATGGCCAACATCTTCCCAAATTTGACGTAAGATATGAATCTATACATCCACAAAGCTAAACAAACTACAAATAAAAGTTAAAAAAAATCAATTAACCACACACATCATAATCTGTTAAAGGTGAGAGACAGAATCTTGAAAGCAGCAAGACGAAAACAACTCATTGTGTACAATGGATCTTCAATAAGATTAACAGCTAGTTTTGCTTCAGAAATCACAGAGGCAAGAATGCAGTAGGAAGAAAAAGACTATCAACCTAAACTATCCTTGAAAAATGGAGGAGAGGGAAGCCTGGGTGGCTCAGTCGGTTAAGCATCTGACTTTGGCTCAGGTCATGATCTTGTGGTTCGTTAGTTCAAGCCCCACGTTGGGCTCTGTGCTGACAGCTCAGAGCCTGGAGCCTGCTTCAGATTCTGTGTCTCCCTCTCTGCCCCTCCACTGCTCACCCTCTGTCTCTCTCTCTCTCAAAAATAAATGAACATTAAAAAAAGAAAGAAAGAAAGAAAGAAAGAAAGAAAGAAAGAAAGAAAGAAAGAAAGAAAGAAAAATGGAGGAGAAATTTTAAAAATATCCGGATAAACAAAAACTGAGAGAATTCATTGCCACCATCTCTGCCTCACAAAAAGTACTCAAAGGAGTTCTTCAGGCTGAAATAAAAGGACATTAGGCAGCATCACAAATCCACATGAAGAAACGAAGAGCACTGGTAAAGGTAATACTATGTGAGTAAAAAATAGCATAAATGAATGTATTCTGTAATTCTTTGTGTCTCCTACCTGATTTAAAAGACACTTTGCAAAGAAAAAAAATATAAATCTGTGTTGATGGCACACAATACGTGAAGATCTACAGGACAATAAAAGCACAAAGGAGGGGTAAAGGGATGAATAGAGCTATATAGGAATAGAGCTATATAGCATATTAAGTGTTTATATGCTATTGAAATTAAGTTGATATTAATCCAAATTTGATTTTTTTAATAGGTGAAATGTACTGTAAATCATTGTTTACTTTCCTGGTTAAAGAAAAAAAAACCTTATAGTCAATTCTCCACTCACAAGTAGAAGAGGAATAGAAAAAACTCGATTGTTTTTAATCTGGCGTTTATGTGTACCTTTCATTTCACACGTACAGTTAACTGGGTATTACTACCCACCACCAGCAGAATAGATACAAGTAAAACCAAATATCAGAAAGGAAAAAGTATTAACAAAAGGAAGCTCAAAAAGATGTCTTCAGGAGAGTGGCCAGGCTAGTCAGTAGGAGCAGACCGTGTGCAGTAAGGCTCTGCTGCTCTTCTCCAACTCCTACAGCAGCTCATCAGTCCCATTCTCTATATCCTCCATGTGCTGAATGCAATGGCAAGGCTCACAGATAAGGAATGCGTCCAGGGTGGCCTCTTTATGGTTGTCCTGGATGTCCACATTGGTTACATGCACTGGCTGGCAGGTGTCTTGCTCTTTGGAATTCAGATCTTCCACCACCTGATTGTACACTCTCTCTTCACAGGTGAGAATCAGATCAAACAGTCTCTGCAGCTCTGAAACCTTTCTGGCCAGGGCTTGATCCTCTTATTTCTATCCAACAGATGTAAAATGCCATTCTGCATATAGAGTTCTTTGTCTTTCCTAAGGAGATTGTGGTACATCTGGTCATATGTAGTTTTGAAATTGTAAACTTTTGGCTTGTCAAGTGCCGGTCCTGGGAGCTTAACATGAGTTCCTGTTCCAAAGGACCAGAAACTGAATCTCCGTTTGCTGAGAATGTCATGCATCTCCATGCTCTGGTTCTGGTTGCTCGAGCACACCACTGCCACAGACAGCAGCAACGATGGCATACTGGTGACTACACTGACCACAACACACCCATTCAGGGACTCCCACCCAGCCATGGCACTTCTGTGCAAGCCAATCCAAACCTGATTGTTAAAAACTAAGATGTTAATTGTAAATCCCAGGGCAACCATCAAGAAAATGACTAAACATAGCAAGAGAAATGACAAGGGAATTAAAATGGTACACTAAAAGATATCTATTGAACAGAAAAGAAGGCAGTAATGGAGGAATAGAGGAACAAAAAAGCTGTAGACCACAAATAAGAAAACAACAGACCTAATCCTGCTCTATAAGGAATTTCACTAAATGTAAATTGCTTAAACACTCTAATTAAAGGGCATAGTGGATACAATACTGGATAAAAAAAAGAAAACAAAAACGTGATAAATAGTGTCTGAAAGAGACTCACTAATAAATAGTGTCTGAAAGAGACTCACTTGAGATCCAAAGACATAAACAGAAAAAAGGATGGACAAAGATACACCATGATGAGAAAGACAGTCTCACGTGTATGGTCTTTCAACCCCCACTCAGCTACATATGAATGAGCCTTGGGTCTGGAACCTTCCTTACCAAGAGATAAAGAGACCACACAGCCTATATAAGCCATTCACCTTGTCAGAATATCTTTTATTTAATTGCTCCTCTGTTCTGATTAAGCATATACTAAATGCCCCTCTGGCACAACCTCAGCTTTCAGTATTCTGGATTCGACAGTAGTAGGGTTGGACTCCTGCTGTGGAATTAAGAGGTGTGTGCATAGGCCAACTGCCTTGCATCAGATGCTGGGGGCACCCACTAGCCTTGGGGGTCCAATCGCATATTATCAGAACTGATCTTGCTTTACCTCTTAAGTGTATAAAAGCACTGTTCCATCCAATGCTTGACTCCATTGTGTCTTCCTTGGTAACTCTGAAACCAAGATGCAGTGGCAGGAGTATTTAAATTTTTATTCCTGTACACTGGCATAATGATGATGTTTGCTCTCTCCATCATGGTCAGTGTTGGCATTGGCAACTTGCGAGAGGCATTCTGCTCAACACACTCCCCAAAAGACAGCTGGGAAGGCTATATTAATATCAGGTAAAAGAGAGTTTAAGACAAAAATTGTTACTTTGAAGAAAACACATGGTTAAATCTTTAAGATTTTGGATCAGGCAATGGTTTCATAGATACGACAAAGCACGAGCAACTAAAGAAAAGATAAATTGGACATCAACAAAATCATTAAATTTTATGCCTCAAAAAACATTACCAAGAAGGTGAAAAGACAATCCAAAGAGTGGGAGAAAATATTTGTAAATTATATATCTGACAACAGTCTATATCCACTATATAAAGAACTCTCAGAATGATAAAAATTAAACTAATTAAGGGGCGCCTAAGTGGCTCATTCAGTTAAGTGTCCAACTCTTGATTCTGGCTCAGGTCATGATCTCACACTTTGTGAGATCGAGCCCTGCGCCCAACTCCACACTGACAGCGTGGAGCCTGCTTAGGATTCTCTCTGTCCTTCTCTTTCTGCCCCTCCCCTGTTCACGCTTTCTCTCGCTCTCAAAATAAATAAAAAATTTTTTAAACGTGTCCAAAATGGAACCAAGAAGTTCAATCTAAATAGTAATCAAATCTATTCTTAAGGCATATAGAAAAACCACTAAGTATCATGGACATTCAAAACTTAGGCTGTAGGAAGAAACTTCTTTAATGGGATAATTGGTGTGTACCGAAAACCCACAAAGACTATTCCAGCGTTGGCTAACACTTCTTGAGTTATCTTTGAAAAATCAGGCACAAGGTAAGGATGCCAGGTTTCATGAAGCAAGACTGAAAAAGGTGTAAGAAAGAACATGATGAACCTAAAGAAGAATGAATTAAGGACTAATGCAATGAATTAGAATGTCCAGCAACAGATGTGTGCAGACACGGTAATATACTGGATAGATGTGCCATTATAATTCATTGAGAAAAACATTAATAAAGAATTGGTGCTTTATGTGTTAAAAGATAAAACTAGATTCCCTCCTCGTATTATCTACAATAACAATTTCCAGATTGACTTGAGGCTTAAATATTTTTAATAGTACTAATATTAATTAAGCAAAAATTTTAAAATATCCTTATCTTAAGTTAGGGAAGAATTTTAAAATTCTAAAAGAAAACAGAAAAGTTAAAAAGACTGGCCTATGGAAAAATATAAAACTCTAATAAGGCCAGAGGCACTCTAGAGGTAAAGGTCAAGGGACAGACTTGGAGAAAACATTCACAACAAATGTAACAGACAAAGAATTATTGTCCAAAATACATAAAGTATTCTTTAAAATTAATACATAAGAGATGATTAAAAATGAAATCATTCACAAAAGCAAAGAAAAGCCAATAGATATATGATGTACAAGATCATCAGCAATCTCAGAAATGCAAATGAAATGGTGAGTTTTTCTCAGAAGTTAGATTGACAATAAATCCAAAGTCTGACAATGCCAGGAACAGGCAAGTAAGTAGTGGTTAAGTACAGTCACAAATACTACAGTGCTACAGTCTAGGTGGGGGAAATATTTATGCAGAGCCATTTAAAGGGCATGTCAACCATTCAGCTGTCTTCCAGATATTCTACACCGCTGGACCAAACAAGACCATTAGAAAATTGTGTTCTCAACTCTGTTATGAATGGAATGCTTGTGTCCCCCCACCAAACTTCACATGTTGAAGCCCTAATCCCCAGTGTGATTTTAGTTGGTGATGGGACCTTTTGGAGGTAAGTGGGTCATTAGTATGGAGCCCTGATGACATTAGTGCCCTTAGAAGAAACTACACGAGAGAGCTGGCCCTCTATTCTCTCTCCACCATGTGAAGATACAATGAGAAGACGGCCATGGGCAAACTGGATGAGGGTCCTCACTAAAGAATCAAATGTGTTGGCACCTTGATCTTGGACTTCCCAGACTCCAGAATACGAGAAATAAGTGCTTGTTGCTGAACCACCAGCCTCTGATAATTTCTTACAGCAGTGCCAGTGTGTTAGTGCCCTAAGAGACTCGTTTTTCTGGTTCTCCTTTGCTGTCAGAAAGACCAGAACGGCAAACTTGCTGTTCAACTTTGATAATTCTGGGACTTTACAGGACCAGCATATATCTATATGCTGACTGCTCAACTCTTGACCTGATAGTCTACAGTTAATCTGATGTTGATTTTCATCTATTTCTGTTTTTCTATTTTAATTTCTGTTCCCTTACACACCTCACAAAATCCACTGCAAAACAAAGCAGGAATAAACAGCTTACCTGTGATTCAGTCATTTCCTGCTGCTCTTGGAAAACTGAAGAGAACTGTAAAGGTACAGCTGGGAAAGAAGGAAAGAAAATGAGGTCCTATGCAACCAGGTGAGCCGAGCAGAATTATCTGCCTAGCAAGCTTCACACAGCAGCTACATACAAAGTCCCCGTGGGCCATGCGCTTCAACCCTAAGGGCAGGGCGGACCTGATGGAGGAGTACCCATTGTCTATGCAGACTCTGACCCGTCACAGCTCAGAATGCGATTTTTCATTAGGTGAATATAAACATTTCCTACTAACTTCCTGCTAAAAAGAATTTACCTTCCCCTCTATAGTGACTAAAATAAATGAATAGTAACAACCAAGGACTAATCAAACAAAGAACAACACAGGAAGACATTGCCTTTATTTCTCTGCATTCCTAGGGAAAGTGTCTGGCCCTTGAGTTACAAAATCCTCATCAGCATCCCCCTGGAAAGTGCAGGGGTACTTTGTTTATTCTAACTTGGTTATGGTTTCTCAAAAGGATCTTTTCATTAGAAATTTGAGGGGCGCCTCGGTGGCTCAGTGGGTAAAGCATCCAACTTGGGCTCAGGTACATGATTTTGTCATTGGGGTTCAAGCCCTGCGTTGGGATCTGTGCTAAGTTCGGAGCCTGGAGCCTGCTTTGGATTCTGTCCCTCTCTCTCTCTCTCTGCCCTTCCCTCACTTGTGCTCTGTCTCTCTCTCTCTCTCTCAAAAATAAACATTAAAAAAAAAAATTGATGTGACATCATTGTTAAGGATAGACAGCAAGGAGTTCCCTGGGCATGCCACTAATAAATTGTTACTCTAGACAAGTCACTCCCTTATCTTCTAGGCCCTTTTTTTTTCACCTCTTAAATACAGACAAAATTTTAAAATCTTCAAACTCTTTATACATTAGTTATTTGATTTTTTACTATCAGAACAGAATGATGCACCCTCTAGGTTGTAGAGCAAGTGCAGTGAAGGGAGTATGGCTGATGAGGGTGAACAAGGTCAATTTCTCCTGTGGCTGGTGATTCCTTTCCCTGAACTGTGTCCTCACAAACTTCCTGTGAGGTACCCTCTGCTGTGCTGCCTACCCTTTGCTCATGTTGCCAGCTTTATTTCAATTCTTAAAGCTGATCAGTGGACAGCCTGCAATGATTTCTGGTTATGGTGACATCACCCAAGCATTGCTCATTCTGTAGAAGGACCAAGAATTACTTCTGTCCTGGCAGTCTGAGGATATAGTCTTTCCTGGGCCTCTTCTGTTTCTGTTTTGAGCCTCTGGTGAGAGGTCTCAGATCAAGGGGTGATTTTCCAGGTGGGGTTCCTGGGTGATAAGGTTTTGGGGATGACCCAGAGTTGACAGCCAAGAAAGAATTCTTGAAGACACCTTTGGTGCAAAAAGGTGATTTTATTAAAGCATGGAGATAGGACCCATTGGCAGAAAGAGCTGCCCTGGGACCATAAAGAGACATTGGTTACATACTTGGGAGTTAGGGGAGGTAAAATCAAGGGGAAGTTTCCAGTGAGATTTTCATATGCTAAAGAAGACAGTAGGAAGTTCCTGGAGAAACATTTTACTCTGCCAGCCTCAAGTATTTGTCAGTGGGCTGCAGGTTATAAGGAAATTCAATTTTATCTGCCATTTCCTTCTGCCTTTGTTTCCCACATCTCACCTCAAGAGCTGTTTTGCTCCAGGAGCCCCTGGGTGGCTCTGTTGGTTAAGCCTCCACGTTTGTGGGTTTGAGCCCCACATGGGGCTCACTGTTGTCAGTGTGGAGCCTGCTTTGGATTCTCTGTCTCCCTCTCTCTCTGCCCACCCCATGGCGTGCTCGCTTTCTCTCTCTCAAAAATAAATAAACATTTCTTAAAAATTTAAAAAAGTACAAGAGCTGTTTTGCTCCAAAAGAGATGGGACCTGGGCAGTGGGGACAAATTAAATTTAGTTGGAACTTTCAAACAGGGCTCCCAACCTGACTCTAATACATACTTTCCCCAAGAATCAAGAGCTTTGGCCATCAACAAACTCAAATGAAGTTCTCCAAAGACAAAAGCTAGACAGGGCAGACCGGACCCAGAAATTGTGCTACCTGACGCAGGCGCTCAGAAGAATAAGAAGAATAATCAAATATCCCAGAAACCCAAGGCCAAGACATTATGCAGTCCCCATATACCTCATAATTATTTTCCTGATACTACAGTATCAGACATTATTAGTGCTGTGAATAACAATGCTGGGTTTTAGGCAAGGCAGTTTATTAGAAGGAACATGAGACGTGCAGAAAAATGGATTGAAAACTAGATTCCCACCGCTGCTGTGTGGTCTTGGCACTTCACCTCTGAGCCTGGTTTACTATTCTCTTAACATGGAGACAGTTAAGCTTACCTCAAATATGGCCGTGAGAGCCTTTGATGGCAAAAATCTACGTATATCTAGCATAGACATTAGCAGCGCAGAACAATCGCATGGGTCAGGTATAAAAACATTCTCATTCTGCAGAAGATAAAACTGAACGTCTTTGCCAGGATTGCTCAGTAACTAGAACCGAGCTCCACCCGCGGCTGCCCACGCCCCCTGCTGCAGCAGCCGCCTTTGCGCACGGACCCTGCAACCTCCCAGGACGCGCGCCCCCGCGTCCCCGCGTCCCCGCGCGAAGCCGGCCCTTTCCGCTGAGAGAGGAGCCCTGGCCCGGTCGTCCCTCCTCCAGGATGAGGCTGCCCCAGCCCGCCCTTGGGGGGTCAAGTGCCAGAGGTCCCGCCGCGGGGTCCCCCCACAACCCCAGACCCGCCGGCTCCCGAGCACTGCGGACGCTCGTCTGCCTTTGGCCAACCCCAAACTCCCCTGTCCTGTCGCACTGGACCCTAGGGAGCGCAAAGACTCGGTGATCCGAGAAGCACCACCCAGGAGAAGGTGTACCCTGGGGGAAAGATTTACAGACCTGGAGGCAGTGAGCATGCGCAGAGTCAGCCCGGAAAGCCAACACCAGAGTGAAAACTACATTTCCCATAAGTCTTTGCTCCCGCACTTTTGAGGGTGTTTACCAAACTCCCCCCTTGCCCCTGCTCTTTTTGGTTTGAATCCAGCTTTACTCCGGGAGTCCCAAGACATTTTATTCAAAGAACACAATAAAAGCTTGTGCCTCAGGTGATGCCTCCCTCTCTCTCTCTCTGCAGCCTGTCTTGACCTTCCCACTTGGGTCCAGGGCCTTGAGTAACATACATGTCTATTTCAATTTCTTTTGTAGTCTTTTATTAAACTGCAAAGAACCACCTTTTCCCATATTACTTAAATAAAACTCGCCATAGACCTGTTTACCTGCTACAAAAGCAGACACACAACCTAAAATTCGCATTCTATGTCTCATAAATGATCAGCTGAACAATTTGTCTCCATGACTAATCAGAACAAAATACCTGTAAATTTAACTTAACTAAATTTCTATTCTCCCCCACATCATCCTGAAATTTGACTTCCTACTAAGGTTTAACAAGTATAGGAATGCCAAACAATCCCTCTCAAAACTTGGCTGACAATAAGGAAAGTTGTTTCCTGATCTTGCCACCTACTCCCTGCTCCTGACATCCAGTTCTTTCTAGCCTTGTTTACACCTCCATTAAAAGAATGAGTTTCCCTCTTTAGTTTTCATTTCTCTGCTACCAGTGGGAGTCTGCATTGCATGAATGGAGATGTGGGTTCTTGGATTACCCAGGAAAGATTTACCTGAGGATCAGCACTCCAATGAAGACAGGAAAGTAGCAAACCCAAAGCAGTTTAAGGACAGTACACTCTCAAAAAGGGAGGAGACTGGACAGCCCCCGAAGTGGCAACCCCAGGGGGATTAAGGGTATCTTTTCTTTTTGTGTTTGCAGAGGTTATGGGCCATAGTTAGGGCAGTCTCTGACAGAAGTTGTGTCTATTCGTCTAAGGGACTCCTGCCAGTTGGGAGGCAGAGTTTTGGACCCTACAAGGTTCTTGCAGGAACTATCCTGGCCATCTTCGCCCATTTGGGTAGGGGTGGGTTGAAACCACAATGTAAATATATGATAATGAAACCATAGGTTACCCTGGGGCAGAGGTTGAGGGTGACTCTTGGTTCTTCAGTCCTGGGGTGTTAGAATCCCTAAAGCCAAGATGTTAAAAGCCACAAGTCAGGATGTTGTGCCCTCAGTCTTCTAATGTGTCATCTATTTATCCCTACCTTTGTCTCCAGCTCTAACTGCCTACTCTATGAACTCTTTCCTATTTGTAAATACACACACACACACACACACACACACACACACACACACACAAGTATATATATGTGTGTGTGTGTGTGTATGTGTGTGATTTGTGTACTTACACACAAATTTGTGACTACTCTTTCAGACATTTGCAGATCTTCAGAGCTGCTTCCCTATTGCCATCATCACCCTCTTCCATTGCAGTAATCACCCTCCCTTACTGCAATAGGTTTTTTTTTCTTTTTCACTTAATACATTTTATTTTTAGAGCACTTTTAGGCTTGTAGAAAAAATGCACAGGAAGTACAGAGTTCTAATATACCTGCTTCCTCCGCACCCTCATCCCTTCTACAGTTTCCTTATTATTAATGTTATGGAACCCAAGTTTGGCTGCCAGTCCCTAGAAAGGCCATTACTCAAGAGACAAGTTTTGGGGGCACCAGGGTGGCTCAGTCAGTTGAGCCCAACTCTTGATTTTGGCTCAGGTCATGATCCCAGGATCGTGGGATCGAGCCCCACATTTGGGCTCCACACCCAGCTTGGAGCCTGCTTAAGATTCTCTCTCTCTCAATCCCTCTGCCCCTCTCCCCTGCTTGTGTGCTCTCTCCCTCTAAAAGAAAAAAAAGAGGGGCGCCTGGGTGGCGCAGTCGGTTAAGCGTCCGACTTCAACCAGGTCACGATCTCGCGGTCCCTGAGTTCGAGCCCCGCGTCAGGCTCTGGGCTGATGGCTCAGAGCCTGGAGCCTGTTTCCGATTCTGTGTCTCGCTCTCTCTCTGCCCCTCCCCCGTTCGTGCTCTGTCTCTCTCTGTCCCAAAAATAAATAAACGTTAAAAAAAAAAAAAATTAAAAAAAAAAAGAAAAGAAAAGAAAAAAAAGAAAGAAAGAAAGAAAAAGAGATGAGTTTTTGATTGGAAAGGAATTTGAGAATAAAAGATTCAGGAGGCCAGCAACCTCGGGAGAAGGTACTCTGAGGTTTCTGCCTGGCTCAGGGGTTTTTAAAGGGGTTTAGGGTAGTTAATCAGCAAAGGGAGTGTAGCGGCCTGCAACATTTCTTGATTATGTGCAGATTCCATGATGTCAGCTACAAAAGTTATCCTAGTACTTGGGGGTTGTGAGAGGGAGTCTGGTTCTTGTTTTATTATGTGCAGGAGTACTCTGTTCTTTCTGCAAAGGAAGGCAATGTCTATGGATACACAAAGGGAAGTCAGTAAAATCATTTGTGTGATCAAAAAAAGAAAAACATTTTACTAAAAAAATTGCCGGGCTAATCCTAAAGCTGAGTCAGCCTGACAGACTTGCTGGTTTTTTGGGCCTGGGAAAAGTTCTGGTTCTTCATTCCTCGAGGACAGTGGTCTGCAAATCTCAAAGAAAATTAGTTCTGTTGAAGATCAAGGGATTTAGGTCAGCAAGTAAGGAGAGTTAACCTGAAGCAAGTTAATCCTTAAGACCTGCTGGAGTGCTGTTACACTAACATCTTGCATTTGTGTGGTATATTAGTTCCAGTTGATGAACCAATCAATATCGATACATTATTCCTAAAGTCCATAGTTTCCAGTACAGTTCATTCTTTGTATTGTACATAACATCAAGTACCTACCATTACACTATCATAAGAAGAGTTTCACTGCCCAAAAATGCCCTGTGCTCCACCTCAACCACGCCCCCTAAACCTCTGGCAAGGACTGACCTTTTAATTATTTCTATAGTTTGGCCTTCTCCAGAATGTCATATAGTTTGAATTATACCATGTGTAGCCCTTTCAGATACTTCTTTCATGTAGCAATATGCACTTAATGTTCCTTCGGGTCTTTGTAGCTTGATAGACCATTTAACTGCTGAATAATACTCCATTGTATGGAGGTACCACAGTTTATTCATCCCTTCACCTGCTGAAAAACATCCAATTTTGCTTCCAATTTTGGCACCATAGAGGGTACCTGATCCCTGAGAGGGAAGGGGTATGATCTAGCTCTGTACCTTTGCTTCTCTGAGTCTATTCTGTTCCCAGATGGTATTTGCCTGGAAACGTAAGGACCTAGATCTCACCTACAGGCCATTGAACAGTTGATGACCTTCAGGAGCTACGACTACCAAGACACCTGAAACAAACTCATGCTCAAGTGGACACTAAGGACATATACCAAATACTGGGCCCTATTATATAATAGGCCTATATATATATATATTATATATAATATATTATATATATAATATATATTATATATATATTATATATTCATATATATATTATATATATAATATATATAATATATATATATTCCATATACCAAATACTGGGCCCTATTATCTAATAGGCCCTATTATATATATTATATATTCCTATTTCTAGAATACCAAGTTGGTTGTCAGCCGGCACTTTCACAGACACATATTCCCTCTTACCTGCTTCTGCAGGATTACTGTGACTTGACATACAGATCTGGTTTGGTGGTCCCAGGCCAGGGCCTTCTGGAAGCTTTAGTATGTGCTGCCAGCATCACTGCACATTGCACGAGTCGCTTCAAACCTTCAACCTCCCTTAGCAGAGAATATTCCTTTGGGAGTATTCTGTAAATAGAGAGCCAGCAGGACTATGATTCTGCCAAATACTTCAGATCAAGAGTTAACTGAAGAAGGGTTTTTTCTGTACCTAGAGCAACCAACATATACTGCATTTGAATAAATGCTTATGAATCTGTCTCTCCGCCTAGATAGCAAGTCACTTGAGAAGAGGAAATATGTCATACACAGGTACCAAAAGAGCAGCATGCATATAACTAATGATCGTCCGTGGCTTGCTGACTTTTTAAAAAATAAGGAGCTAATGGCAATGAAGGCTACCTCCGACAAGCCAGCAACATGTTTGAACTGCAGGCTCCCTAAACATCTGAGGGCTTCACAGAGCTATGACAATGACATGAGTAGTGGAACTAATGCTCTTCAGCCCAATGTAGAATTCTAAACTTCAATTGCAATTAGAAAATATCTTTGGGGTGCCAGGGTGGCTCAGTCGGTTAAGCGTCTGACTCTTGATTTTGGCTTAGGTCACTATCTCATGGTTTGTAAGTTTGAGCCCCACATCAGGCTCGTGCTGACAGTGTGGAGCCTGCTTGAGATTCTCTCTCTCTCCCTCTCTCTCTCTGCCTCTCCCCTGCTTGCGTGCTCTCTCAAAATAAATAAATAAACTTTAAAAATAATAAAATAAATTACTGATAATTCTGATCCCTAGTCCTCAGTGCCAGAGATTCTGATTCCCTGGACTAGAGACTAGCTCACATGTCAGTTTTTTCTTCTCCTTTTTCTTCTCTTCTCTCTCCTCTCTCCTCTCTCCACTCTCCCCTCTCCCCTCTCCCCTCTCCCCTCTCCCCTCCTCTCCTCTTTAAAGATTCTCAAGGAGTTTTCTAGTTTGCAGCCAGGGCTGCAAACCACTATCCAAAGCTAACCACTTTATTTAACTGATAAGGGAACTCCTAGAGTTTGACTCACCCAGTTTGTCAATCCAACACAGAAGTGATCCTCGAATTCTGATATTGGACTCATAGTTCTATGCGTAAGTTTCATTTCTTCAAGTAGAAACCCTATCCGTCCAAAGTGAATTTCCCTGTTTAGTTTTCATTGCTCTTTCCTACTTGTAAATACACACACACATACACACAGACCCATTTATAATGGCTGTTTTCTCTCTCCTCAATGCTGCTGTCCTGTGTAGTTTGTGGGTGTGCTTATGCCAAAGACACAGTGGGTAATATTCTGCATACCTAATCAGCTAAGTCAGAGCCCCACAGAACCAGGACTGCTGCCAAATTCACAGTGATCACAAGGTAAACACTTGCTCTGTTTCTCTGGCACACTGTCACTAGGTGCCAATAGGTGAAGGGGATGAAGATGTTAAATCCCTCAGTTATAAAACAAATAAATTATGCGGATATAAAGTACAGCACAGGAAATATAATCAATAATATTGTAACAACTTTGTATGATGACAGATGGTATAGACTGACTGTGGTGATCATTACATAACACAGATAAATGTTGAATCACTATGTTTTACTCCTGAAACTAATACAATATGTCAACTACTTCAATTGAAAAATAATTTTTATGTGCAATATTATTGCGCAAAAAATTCCAAAGCCATATGGCTATTAGTGCAAACAGCCCTTCCAGCCTTTATTTCAGTATTTGCTGACATTTCCATGCCTTTATTTCAGAGTTAGGTCAGAGATGGTGCCTTGCAGAAAATGTTTTCACCTGAAAATTCAATTGGTCTGCTAGAAACATCCCATCTGATACAGAACGAGGAGAGAGCTGAGAAGTGATCCCTGTTCCAAAATTTCTTCTCCCCCACACAAGTCAGTCCCTCCAAGGGAGGGGCTGGATGCTTGCCATCCAAGAGGCTTTGCCAGTCTCCATGTATGGGCATGCCCAGGGCTTCCTGACTTGGGCCCTAAGGTGGGAAGATCTAGGCTGCCCTGGCCTGAGGATCACAGCAGAGTGCTCTGCCTTAGCGGCTTCACAGTCAGAGATGTGACATAATCCCCCAAATCATAATGGGGAAGGGTTGCAGCTGGAGGTTAGCGCAGACTTCCCACTGCACAGATGGAGGGACGTATCATACGTCATGAAAATAGCACCCACAGTTACTGAATAGCTTAGTAGCTTAGAAAAGTGAACCAGGGTGCCTGGCTGGCTCAGAGAGAAGAGCATGAAACTCTTGGTATCAGGGTTGTGAATTTGAGCCCCATGTTGGGTGTAGAGATTACAATAAACAAACAGACAAGCAAA